AAATATTTTGGAAAATGGACGGATTCTTGAAATATTTGTGGTTTTTGGATGTTTTTGAATTATGTCAAAAAAATTATAACAAACCTATGCATATTGTGCGTGTACTGAGTTCCATCTAATCTGTTTCTATGGTACCTGTTCGAAAGAGGTTACTTAATAACGTACTTTGTACACTTTTGTAATAAAGCATGTTTCTGTGATTACGATTTGTCATCAATTGCCAACTTAATAGTAATGATTAATCATGTAGTTTTCTTACGCAAAATAGGTAATAGAATCGATTAAATTGTTTGCAAAATTACCATTAGTCAAAGTATAACATCAACTTACTACTTTCTATATGGGGTCAGTTTTACTGAGTGTCCGAGTTTGAAGGACATAGTTTAATAGGTGATGAAACTCATAAAATAAACGAAAATCATATAATTTAGAAATTTGCAGTATTTGTGTATCCAAAATATTGGGCATGCATTTATCTTAAAACCTTGTCTAAAATTATTTAGCTGTTTAGATAAAACAAAGACCCGGCAACACGCCTGTGGGAAAAGTTAATTTCGCTGAATTTTGTATGCTATGCGTCTTGACATCCTGAACAAATGTTTCAGTGAGCATAGGCCCCCAAACTCAAGTGGTTCCTAGATATAAGCCGCCCAAGTCAATATAATTGGTTTTACTCGAATACGTATCTACTTTAAGTGGAAGAGAGGTTTCAGTTAATTTCGATTGGTTTAGACTAGATTTTATGTTTAAATCAGATTTATTTGGCTTAAACAATTTGCGTTTAAATATTGACAGAAACTGAATCACAAGTCGTGACAAAAAATGAAACATCGTACATCTTAATAAAGAAAAACGTATTTCCGCTTGAATTTGGTGAAACGCATCTATTACAGGATGTAAACTTTATGATAGTCATTATTTAAATGGGTAATAGAGGGGCTTGAAAGAAACAAAAAGTTTCATATAATATGGGGGTCAAAACGGCATTTTTTTAGAGAAAAGTGACTTTAAAGTAAAATAAAATCTGACAACGCCGCAATACCAGACGCAAATTACGACGGAACGCAGTGTAAATAAAGATGTAGTTTGTTATTTTTGTCTCTTAGGTATTATTTCTTTATTTGATAATGTACTCGTGAAATGCAAACAATTAAAAAAACGGACTTAGCAATAACTGTCTCAGCGCTTCACCTGGTGTGTGAAAGTTTATTGAACGTATTAAAAAAATCCACTTATAAATGGGGAACACAATTTTGATGCATACATTGGTTTTGTTTTTAAAACCCACACTTCACTTTTTTTATATTTAAAGAAGGTGTTCAAAATGTCGTCCTCCACTTTCCACACAAGCTTCGATACGACAAACCCAGTTTCTTCTTACTCTAGGTTCTCGACGTTGTAAATTTATTACTTCAGTCGCATTAACAGTTTTTTCGCGAAGTTGTGCTTCAGTTGTTATTGGACCAGCCCCATAAATCATCCCTTTAAGTTCTCCCCAATACCAGAAATCCATCGGATTGAGATCAGGAGATCTTGCTGACCATTTTCGAGGACCAGGAGCATTTAGACCGATCCAGCGATTTGGATAATGTTCATTCAAATACTGAATACATAATGGCATGTTGTCTAAGGTCTGTTCCAAAAGTTCTGGTAGGTTATTGACTAGAAAGCTACGTTATCCTTCTCCTGACAACTTTGGGGGTAACTCGAAAGGACCAATTACCTGATCGTCAAGAATACCCGCCCAAATATTTATTTTGAAACGTTGTTGGAAATGACCTTCACGAACGGTATGAGGATTTGCTTGGGCCTATTATTATGGGAATTTAATATCCCGTCTCGCGTAAAAATACATTCGTCCGTCGCGTCGTTAGAATGTTTTTAAAAAAATCCGGATTTTCATTTTGTTCAAAAACCACTGACAGAATGTTAGTCTGCGAGGATAGTCTTCTGGTAACATGGCCTGCACTCGTTGTACATGGTAGAGATAAAGCAAATGGTCCCGTAGGATTCTATGGACTATGGTATGCGATAGTCCTACGGGGCGGCCTAATTCCCGAGTGCTCATATCTGCATTGATTGCCACGATATTTAAAATTTGTTCCTCCTGCTCTACAGTAACCGGTCTTTCACCAGTGCGAATATTAGTAGGCTGAACACTTCCTGTATCTCGAAGTCTTTGGTGCACTTGCACAAATGTCCTTCTGTCTGGGTGTACCCGTTGGCGAAATATGTCGCGATAAATTTGAGCTGCAAGATTTGAATTGTGACGAGCTTCACCGCAAACTAACAACATGTCGGCGAACTCTTGATTCGAGAACATTGTAAATAAACACGACGACGTACGCGAACAACAACTAACCACTGTTATCGTTTGCGATCGATTACCCATTTCTACAATGACTACTATAACGTTTACACCCTGTATTTCTGACTCATATAATTCCACTTTCAGTCATCTTTGTTATTTGAAGATGTATTAAATATTTTAAGTAAAAAAGCTAAATTAGAGACATTTTCAGTGCTCAGTATATTACGTAGCTTACTTTGTATTAAGCCAAAAGAAGAAAAATATTTCTACACCTGCTGAAGATCCGTGTGCGGGGTGTAGTGATTCAATGATATGGATAATTTTAGCATTTTCGCTATATCAATATATTTTTTTTACTTCTCACCACTCAGTTGTCAGCTTTGAAATTATACAATTATTGACACTTAATCATGTCAAAATTAGATTAATAAATCTGGTGAAAAAAGTTGAATTTAAGGTGTTGTGATAGTGAGGTGTTTTTGACAACAGTTGATCAAAGAAAAATTTAATGTTGATTAATCAAAAAGGAAGTTGGTGGAAAAGATTTACAAGTTACAAAAACTCGTCCTTTTCCCTAAAAAAAAAAACAGTTGACCTAAACCCACCAACACTGGTTTCCCCATATCTTTGACGATCGCCAATGGTTTGAGATGCTGAATTCATTTTCAGCCCGTATGCTGCAAATTACAGAAAGACCCCCACGGACATAGTGCAGACGTCGACCGGCTTGAGCCAGAAGACTTACTTAGGGCTCTTTCTGTCATTTTCAACATATTTGTTGAGGATGAAACCAGCTTGGCAAACCATTGGTAATTGGCGATCGTCACATTTCTCACCTACTAGACCTTTACCGCACTGATGAGTACTGAAGAGCAGGAAACAGCTCTATCTGCAGTTGATCATCATTACAAAGACGGAAAGCAAACATATCAAATCTTGTCACATGGTTCAATTCTCGATTATTGACAGCAGATTACGGAAGAACTTATTTTATGCCGTTCTCGTCAAATGTAATCACAATGCTTTGAAAGAAATAAAAAAAAGAAAGCAAGTATTAAATATTTAGGCAGATATTTGGACTCCAACATAAAGTGGAATGTGTATATATATTATTTGGTTATGAAACTCAAATTTTTGAGTTTATAAAATAAGGCACCTAAAGTAGTATCGAACTTTTCCACAACTTAGAATAATATACATACTGTGCTTTAATAGAAAATCATCTGATTTTCGGCATAACAGTGTAGGGTTCGGCAAAAAAAAACATCTAAATTCTTGAACTTCCATCTGATGAACTATTCAGAAAGTGTGAGTTTTTTCACATAACTCTGTTGTATATCCTTGCAATAGTTCAATATAGAAACAAAAATTCATTGAGCTATTTTACTTTACTTTCCAAACGAGAAACAGAAAAGACTTGACTAGAGTACCAGCACCACAAAAACTTTATTTCTAAGGCCATATTCTTTCTTAGCTCCTAGATCGTTCAATATCATTCCTTCTCAAATGAAATGTATAAGAAATTTTAATGAATTTTAAAAAAAAGAGAAGTGACTCATATACAGGGTGACTTCGAAGTTGAGTCATTTATTTTAACAGTGAGTAGATCTGATCAAAAGAAATGATTTTTTCCTTTACCATTTTTCTGGTAAAATTAAAGTAACAAAGTTATAGCCCTTTGGAAGTTTGAGTACCGCACTGCCTATTATATGCTCGTGTTTGGCGACAACGGATATAATCCGCCTGACCGGTTCATCGCATCGGAAACAAAAAAGCGAAAGAATTTGAAACGTTTATCACGATGTTTTTCGTCAGTCGATAAATCCTGAGTGAATAGTAGTGTGTTGCGTGGCTCAAACGAAATCAAAAATGGCACATGTTTACGAAAATGCTGAACTTGTGGACATGATTCTTATTTACGGGGGGGGCAGTCTTTACAAAATGCTCCCGGATGCATCACGGACTTATGCGAATCGGTTTCCCAATCGAGTGCAACCAACCCCTCGTGCCTTTGTCAATGTAGTGCAAAGGGCTCGTGAATCAGGTGACTTAAGACCTCACAGGTGAGGGCATGCTGCTCCAAGACCGCACGATCAAATACAGGTCCGCACTGAAATACTTGTCGGGAGGATACTTTATTAAACAAGGTAACATTTTTTTTTATTTTTTTTTATTTTTACACACATATTTTGGTTTATCTTCCTTCTACAATCATTATCTGAAAATTAATGACTCAACTTCAAAGTCACCCTGTATATTCCTCGAATAGAGATACATCAAGAAATTGATTTAAAAAATACTTATTTTTATTTAATGTCTGGTTTGATTTTTTGATTGTGATTGTATACTTAAAATTTTGATTGCGTAACCTGGATGTGACTTTTTACCCTTTTAACGAACTGTGAGTGCTATTTACCTGATGTCGATAATTTATATTATGCACGTTATTGAGTCTTATTTTTATATTTAATGCTATTCACCCACGTACAAGGAGTTTTCCTTCCTGTGGCACTCTCATTTATTCGCGTATTTCTTGATTTTTTAAAATATTTCATACTATAATGAATTGTGCAAATAACTAGCTTACTAAAAACGCCTCTGATTCTAAGCCATGCGACTCACTACGCCTCTGGTCGCGTTAAAACCATTTACGGACCACCTGTTTACCTTCGTTAATCTCTCGCCATTCATTTGTATTTAGCACCGTCGTCGTGGGCACGTAGCGTAGCAGGCCATGGAACTGCCGGCGATAGTCTTTCGTTTTCCGTCGATGTCAGACGCCTGCTAGATCCTGACCTGCAAATAGGCGCGTTCGCGTTTCGCAACCATCGCGGTGTTGTAGCGAGTCGCCGCGCGATTTCAGTTGCTAGAAAACACAATTATTTTTTTACGCAAGAACCAGTCCGCACAGCATTTGATCGGTTTACGAAATATTGCTTCATTATCATTAGCATTACTCATTGAGTCTGATACGCGCAGATCCGCAGATTCTGCAAGAGAGTTTTTTTATGTCATTCTGTTTTTTGTTTGCGTTCTCGTGTTTATGTGGACTAGAAGTGATCGTTTTTCCTTACAAGACGTCTTCTGTTCGTAAGAAGTAGAAACAAACGATTAAAAGTGAGTACTTTTTGAGCCTCAAATGAAAAGTGTACACTGTTGGCACTAAAATGATGTTTTCGATTTTGATTCCCAAGATTTTCAACACAGAATCTGTTTGCTTTGCATCTCTGAGACTTTGGTCAACTATATACGTTGTTTTTGGGCTTATCGAATTTTTATTACTACGAAAAAAATAAATACAAACTGTCGAAACACTTTGTGGTGTCTGGAACGTTTTGGGCTACTTAGTTGGTATCATTTTAAACGTAAAATATAAAATAAACAAACTAACGGGCCTATTATGTGGTAGATACAAACGATTTCAGTGGTATAATGGGTATCGCGTTTTATTTATCACTTCGAGAAGAATTAAAAAGGTTATTGAAACATACTTTGTGTGGTTTATGAAAAAACGATGGTGGTACGGATGATTACGAAATTTAAACACGCTAATGGCCTCATTATGTGGCAAGTAGGAATGTTCTCAATGGAATAAGTTTAGATTATTGATGTATATAATGAAAATCAGTTGAAACTTCTAATTCCACAGTCCCCACATAGCCTCAAATGCACCAGCCGCCGGGGCTCGGGAGAAAAAATTCTAGAATAAAACGACAGCTACTACCTGTGGCAGCGCTTATATGTAGACAATTGAATATTTTCTTTCTGGACACTTACGATACAGTTGAACAGTCAAACCTACCGCCAAAAAAGTGCATAGGTTGTCCCCATATCCCCATATCGCAAAGGACACATAATTCTAAGGGATTCATAAATGCCAAGTAAACAGAGACATATTTTGTTTTGGTTTTTGGTGCACTACAGATTCATTTTGTACTTGCTGAAGGCTCTTTTATTTAGAAAACTTAATTTGCATACCTACGAAAAAAAAACGCTACAAATAAATTTTTGCTAGATTTACACCCGATTCATTACAGCCAAAGTTGGAGACTAACACAAAAATATCACTTGCTGATCAGCTGTTCTCCTCAGTTGACGCCAAAGCGTGGTGGATACTCGTGAAAAAATACACTTCTCACCGTAATGTCAAACACAGAACAACAAATACATTTTCTAATCAAAACAATATCATCAATATAACCTATAACGTCTACTGAGGTGAACAGTTGATCAGCAAGTGACATTATTGTGTAAGTCTAGTAAAAGTTGTTTGTGGCGTTTTGTTTATTGTATGCAAATGAACTTTTCTAAATAAAAGAGCTGTTAGCAAGTACTAAATGAATTTGTAGCGTACCAAAAAACTAAACAAAATACGGCACTGACTACTTGGCGATTATAATAATAATAATAATAAAAATCAAGTACATGCAAATACAAAAAATACACAGAAGATATAAAAACTTCAAGCAGAAAAAAAAATTTACAGAGTCGTAGCCTATGCATTGTATGATGACCAAAAGAGAAACGTGCATCAACAGAGTACGTAGCAGAATCAAAAACCATGCTTAGAAGTAACTTTAAAAAAATATTAGGTATATGGCGAAAGATATAAAAATTAAAAGTAAACAGCAACAGATTCGTAAACAAAACACAAACAAATGAAAAGTGAAAAGTGAGAAAACATGCAGAAATAAACAAATATAAAAATAAAAATTCATAAAAATACATGCTACATGTCATCAAAGACAAAGAGATTAACATTTCTTTTAAAGCTGGACACAGATAGAGTTTTCAAAGCATGAGGTACTTTTATTGTAGAAATCAGGCGCCACATATGAATAGATCTTTCTGAATTGGGTTGTTCGGTGCCGAGGCAAGTCAAGAGTATATCCTATAAAACGCAGGTTCGCTGAGTGATGATCACATCTCATGGTAAGCTTGTTCTTCAAATAAATAGGCATTTTATTTATCAGAATACTGTGGATCAATGATAATAGATACAGTATCCACCTTTGTCGCATAGTAAGCCATTGACTATTTTTAATATGATCAGATACCCTTTCCCGCCTTGAATACCTAAACTGAATCTTATGTAGCTGTTTTGCACTTTTTGAAGTCTGTATGCCTCGCTCTGTATTAGACACGGACCGTATTCAAGTTTACTTAGGATAAGGGAGTCACACAGCTTAACCTTAGTCTGCTTGGACAATACATTTTTATAGCTATAAATTGACTTCAACTAGCATAGGAACAGCTTTGGTGACATGATCATGGAAGCACAGGTTCTCATCACATGTGATGCCCAAGTTGCGAACCGATGTCTTGTGGCAAAGTTCATCACCTCCAATACACAGCTTCATTAATTCACTATTGAATTTGCTGAATTTAGATTTAATAGTTATGATAGCCGACTTTCTAGGGTTAATACATAAGCCATGTTTGTTATACCACACACATATACTATTTAAGTCCTCCGACAGCATCTCATTCGCTTCAGTGTACAGAGCAGGGTTGTAAGATAGATAAATCTGTGTATCATCGGCGTAGGTATGTAATTTGCAGTATTTAGTGACTTGATCTAAGTCCGATACATAAAGAGAAAACAGAATAGGTCCAAGAATAGACTCCTGAGGTACACCTTTGGAGATAGTACCCTCCTGTGATAAGATGTCACCGATTTTTACCTTCTGAATGCGTTCATGAAAATAACTGCGAAACCAATTAATCGAACTATCGGAGAAGCCAAAATGATGAAATTTTCCAAAAAGTAGTTCATGGTTGGGACAGTCGAAGGCCTTACTTAGATTTATCGTGACAGCAGTACTAACTTTAGAATTTTCTATTGCCCTTATGAAGTCGTCACAGACATCGAGCAGAGTTGTTACGGTGCTGTCGTTTTGTTGAAACCTCGACTGGGTAGATGGAATTATCTTGAAGGTAGTGTCGTGCTGCATCAATTGCTCATATACAATTTTTTCTAATACTTGCTAACACTGGAAGGATACTAATTGGTCTATAATCATCAGATACTTCCGGAGCATCAATTTTAGCAAAAGGTCTAACGCATGCCGCTTTCCAAATTTCAGGATTTAACCCTTTTTCAAGCGACTAGTTAATTATGTGAGTTGAAGCTTTAGAACAAAAAGGAAACACTAGAGCTAACATATTTATATTCAAACCATCTAGTCCAACCGCCCGAGATTTTATTTTATTGAAGATCTGTATTATTTTATCTTCCGTGACCGGTTTTAACTGAAACAAGTTGTCTATAGATGGCAAAACATCGCTATTGTAGTGATGAGTAATACTGGTATCCACACAATTATCTGGGATGGAATTTAGGATAGATTTGTTCACTAAATCAGGTTGCAATGTGCATTCTACAGTATCTTTAACAGGCTTATGTACACCTAGTTGTTTGATGGTTCGACACCAATCACGGGAACTTCTACTTTCTTTAACCTGCATTTCTGTATAGGCCTTTTTTCTCTTCTTATGGAAGCTGTTACAAAATTTCTGAGTTGTTTATAATAAACCCATTTGACATTGATCACTGCAGAAGGAGCATCCCTTATCCTTTTTTTATATTTCATGTATGCATTGTTCCTCAATCTCATCATGAACTTAATGTTTTGGGTGATCCAAGGATAGCGTGGCTTTGTTACCTGTACTGTTTTGTTTGGAGCGCATATGTCTAGCAAAATGTTAATCAAATCATACAAGTAGCTTAGCTTGGTTTCAAGATCTTCGAAGTCGATAACTCCTAACCAGTACATTGATGAAGCTACCTCACCAAGTAAGTTGGTATCTAAATTCCTTATAATCGCGGATACGTATATATGTTTGTCTGTAAAAGCTGGCTGGAAAATCTGTACAAAAGTATACCAAATAATGATCCGTGAAAGGTAGATTTACAGCTCCGGTTTTCTTGATGTTTAAGTTTTTTGTTTATTTTAACCTTAACCCAAAGTTGTTCAAGGCCCTCTTGTGTTGCAAAGTTAAAATCAGATACTTGGAAGCAATGCAGTCTTTTTCTCACATAGAGAGAGACTCAATGCCTGTCACATCTAAACAACTGAAATTCTGGAACATGGATATCGTTATCAATGATGTGTGGTTTGAGCCACATTTCGGTGAACCCGATGATATCAAAATTTTGCGACAACACATAATCTTTAACATCATAAAAACAGCTAGTAAGTGATCTAATATTTACACATCCTATGATCAAATTATGCTCTCCGCCTTCGATGACATCAAATTCTGATAATACAGTCATTTAAAAATACAGCGAAAAAACACAAAAACAGATTAAAAAAACAAGATAAAAGGATAAAAAATGGAAAGTTTTTTAAAAATTCAAGTAAAAATTAAAACGGAGATTAGATCAAATGCGCGAAGCAATTTGTTTTACTTCGTATGTGACCCTCCTGTTTTTGCAAACACATACAATTACTGTCCCACACAGCATGGTTCATATCTAGCGTTTTATCTTGTTTTTCATTAACAGACAGACAGTGTCTACAACATGACGATTTGCTTTTACACTGCTATGGCCATACTGGCAACACTTAAAACAGCGTGTCACTGACAAATGCTCATAAATACGACATCTCTCCCATCCAATATTCAACATCCCTTCCCCTATCACTGACTGATATGACTTAGGATCTAGCTTCAGAACAAGATCAAATTTTGCACCTTTAATTGGAAACTGATATACTAGAAATTAGAACAGAGACTAGATAAAATGCGCTTATCTATTCGAAGTAATTTGTTTTACTTCGTATAAGACCCTCATGTTTTTGCAAACACAGACAATTACTATCCGACACAGCAGGGTTCGTATCTAGCGTTTTATATTGTTTTTCATTAACATACAGTCAGTTTATACAACATGACGATTTGCGTTTACACTGCTTCCGTTCGTGACTGTCAGCACAAATAGGCATACAAATGCATTTTTACAATTTGTTTGAATATGGCAACACTTAAAACAGCGTGTCACTGACAAATGCTCATAAATACGACGTCTATCCCATCCAATATTCAACTTTCCTTCCCCCATCACTGACTGATATGACTTAGGATCTAGCTCCAGAACAAGGTCAAGTTTT